AGGGAAGAACAGTGATTATTGAACAGAGTTGGGGAAGTCCCAAAGTAACAAAAGATGGTGTGACTGTTGCAAAGTCAATTGACTTAAAGGATAAATATAAAAATATTGGAGCTAAACTTGTTCAAGATGTTGCCAATAACACAAATGAAGAGGCTGGGGATGGTACCACCACTGCCACTGTGTTGGCACGGTCTATTGCCAAGGAAGGCTTCGAAAAAATTAGCAAAGGTGCTAATCCAGTGGAAATCAGGAGAGGTAGGAGTCTCTTTGTTGTCATTACATTATTCTGATCTTCATTGTTCCTTAATAAGGCATTGATTCCTCGTACCCAAGGAAATTGTCTGTTATTTTAGGAAGTTGATTCTTTAATACTTCCTAAAAAGGCAGAATCTTACTCTTGGCCTGGGTAGAGGATTGTGGCATCATACATAGCTCATAGCAACCTCAAACTCCTGGGCTTAAGCAATCTCTTGCCTCAGACGCCTGAGTAGCTAGGACCACAGGTGCTGTCTACAATGCCCAGCTATTTTTTTGTTGTTGTTGCTGTTTTTGTTCTATTTTTAGCACAGATGGGGGCTCCCTCTTGCTCAGGCTGGTCTCAAGGATTATAGGCATGAGCCACCACCACCGACTTGATCTTTTAACAAAATCTTTAACTGGGGTTTTCCTTGAGCAGATAGTGATTGAATGCCTAACTGTAATGGGCACTGTGCTAGATGTGACGGAGAAAAAATACTAGTAAAACATCCCTGGTCCCTACCCTACCAAGAAGATACTGTGTACCTTGAAAATAGTAGTGAACCTGTAGTAATAGAGGAGAGAGATTGTATTTTAATTTATAGAAAGGCTAAGCAAGAAACTAGGATGTTAGAAAGCAATGTTTTCCTCAGTTTTTGTAGCATTTTCTCTCTTTTTTTTCCTTTTGTTTAAGATGGAGTCTCTGTTGCCCCAGGCTAGGATGCCATGACATTGTCATACCTCACAACAATCTCAAACTCTTGGGCTCAAGGGATTCCCTTGCCTCAGCCTCCCAAGTAGCTGGGACTACAGGCATATGCACTATGCTTGGCTAATTTTTCTGTTTTTTAGTGACGGTAAGGACTTGTTATTGTTCAGACTAGTCTCAGACTCCTGAGCTCAAACAATCCTGCTTTGGCCTCCCACAGTGCTAGGATTATAGGCATGAGCCACTACACTCATCCAGTGCTTTTTTTCATTATAGTACATGCCGTGTTATTGGTTTTTGTTTTGTTTATTGCTTGTTTTCTTCAGAACTAGGGTTGACTGCTTGAGTTTGGGAGTTCTAGACCAGTCTGAGCAAGAGTGAGATCCCCTGTCTGTAAAAAAGTAGTTGGGCATAGTGGTAGGCATCTGTAGCCCAGCTACTTGAGAGGCTGAGGCAAAAGGATCACTTGAGCCCAAGAGTTTGAGGTTGCTGTGAGCTATGATGCTATGGCACTCTACCCAGGAGTGTCAGAGTGAGATTCTGTCTCAAAAAACAAAAACAAACTGATTTTGGTATCCCAGGCATATTTTTATTGATAATATTTATGTCATTACTCTGTATTTCACTGTTAAAGGTCCAAATGAGTAAATCATGTTAAAAGCAGTTTTGCTATAAACCATTAACATTAATTTGGTTATCAAGAGTATCTGGCAGCACCCGTAGCTTAGTGGATAGGATGCCGGCCATATACACCGAAGCTGGTGGGCTCGAACCTGGCCCTGGCCCGCTAAAACAATAATGAGAACTGCAACAAAAAAAATAGCCAGGCATTGTGGTGGGTGCCTTAGTCCCAGCTACTTGAGAGGCTGAGGCAAGAGAATCAGTTAAGCCTAAGAGTTTGAGGTTGCTGTGAACTGGTACTCTATTCAGGGCAATAGCTTGAGATTGTCTCAAAAAAAAATTATAATAGTAAATAAAAAAGGAGAGCTAGCCCTATATATACCCAACTAAGTAAAATGGGACTGTTAAAACTAACTTTAAAATGTTTTGTCAGTTAATAATTACATACTAAATTAAGCACTGGAATTTCAGATAATATCTGCAAGGACATAGCCACGTGAAAGTTGTCTCACTAAAAATTATACTTAATGTCAGCTCAGCATCTATGGCTCAAGTAGCTTAGGCGCCAGTCACATACACCTGAACTGGCGGGTTCAAATCCAGCCTGGACCTGCAAAACAACAATGATGGCTGCAACCAAAAAATAGCCAAGCATTTGGCAGGTCCCTGTGCTCCCAGCTACTTTGGAGGCAGGGGCAGGAGACTCGCTTGAGCCTAGGAGTTGGTGGTTGCTGTGAGCTGTGATGCCATGGCACTCTACCCAGGAGGACAGCTTGAGGCTTTGTCTCAAAAAAAAAAAAAAGTAATGCCAAAAGTTAGGGAGTATTATCCATTTAGGTCCTTTTTGGGATCATTTAATGGAGATAAATGTTGTTGACCTTGCTGGAAATAGGCAACATGTTAAATTAGGAATGATTTGGAGTTCAGTGGTGAAATCCTTGAAACTATACACATCTGCTTTTTTTGGATCCCATTTTCTTCCTTTTTTTTTTTTTGGAGACAGCTTCAAGCTGTCGCCTTGGTAGAATGCTGTGACATCACAGCTCACAGCAACCTCCAACTCCTGAGCTTAAGCGATTTCTCTTGTCTTAGCCTCCCAAGTAGCTGGGACTATAGGTGCTGGCCACAACACCTGGCTTTTTGTTGTTGTTGTTGTTATAGTTGTCGTTGTTTGGCAGGCCTGGGCTGGATTCGAACCTGCCAGCTCTGCTGTATGTGGCTAGCACCTTAGCTGCTTGAGCTACAGATGCTGAGCTGCTGGATCCCATTTTCAAAATAATTTAGGTATTGTAGGACTTTATTTACTGTGTAAATTTAAAAATAACTGTTTTTCAGTACCTGCCATCCATCTCTGATTAGGAACAGCACACTGGTACAGAATCTGTGTATAAGCTTACTATTATGGCATTAAGATATTTATCACAAATCTCAATTTCTATCTGACATGGAAGCCATGAAAGTAACCATTATGACAAAATATTCTTGCTCTAGGTGTAATGTTAGCTGTTGATGCTGTCATTGCTGAACTGAAGAAGCAGTCTAAACCTGTGACAACCCCTGAAGAAATTGCTCAGGTAAGTACTTTTCATAATTACTGTTATAATAATGTTAACATGATTTTCATCTCATAATCCCATCAATATCAGAAAAACAGTACTACTCAGTCACCATTATTAGAAGCATTTTGTCGTCGTCTTTTGTGTGTGTGTGTGTGTTTTTTTTTTTTTTGCCGGGGCTGGGTTTGAACCCACCATCTCTGGCATATGAGGCCAGCACCTTACTCCTCTGAGACACAGGCGCCACCCCGCATTTTGTCATTTTATAGTATCATGACATTTATTAGGAAAAATACAGTGGGATGAGCATTCTTTTACTGTTTTGATTAAAAGAAGAATTGTATGTTTGGTATTCTTCAAAATAATGTAGCCAAGTAATGAATTGAAGAACGGAAATTTCACTAAAAATTCTATCCCATTAATCCTTCCTCCCCAGGATGGAAATATCAGTTTAAAAGTTAGTAGGGAGTGGGTAGTGCCTGTGGCTCAAAGGAGTAGGGCACCAGCTCCATATGCTGCAGGTGGAGGGTTCAATTCCAGCCCCGGCCAAAAACTGCCAAAAAAAAGTTATTAGGGAGAAGGAAGGGAATTGACTGAGGGACACTAACTTGACCTTTTAATTTTGATGAGTAACTTGATTATTTCAGGTTGCTACAATTTCTGCAAATGGTGACAAAGAAATTGGCAGCATCATTTCTGATGCAATGAAAAAGGTTGGAAGAAAAGGTGTCATCACAGTAAAGGCAAGTGTTTTTACTGATAGCTTGAATGAGACATCTGGCTATCAAAACTGAATTTTCTAAATGGGAAAATCCAATCTATATATGTTTCAAATAGAATACATTATTTTGTTACTTTGTGTATAATCTTAGCACCGTTATATAGTGGGGGCTTACTGTATTTTATGTGAATTAGTACCCTTGGCTTCCTGGAATGAATCCATACTAAACTAGCACTAAGGTTACCCAAGTATCCATTTTGGGATTTTTGCAGGCATGGGCTTGAATGCCCTGGAGCATTTGCATACTCTGGTCTAAATCGTGATGGCCAGTGGGGTATATTTTATAAAATCTGGCCTGCAATTTC